CAGGGGCAGCCGTGAGCTACCTGAGTCCCCCGCAGCAGCTGGAAGCGTGCCGCCGGCAGAGGCCGGGCACCCCGGCGGGGACACTGGCCCCTACGAGGAGGAGGGCGTCCGTCCCCAGGCGGCCGGTGACGGCAGCTCCCCAGGATGTATGTTGCACTCACCCTTTTCCCTGCTTCCCCCGAGGCGCCTGGGTTTTTGGTGGGCAGAGCGGTGGGTGCCCTGGCGTCATACAGAAAATGGGTGGGTCTTTTGGCCAGTTTGGAACAGGAGAAACTGAGAGTGGCTCCCCCTCCAAGTGAGACCGCGTTGCTTCATCATGCCCAGTGTCTTTTGTGGAGGACCAGGACATCACGTTTGGTGGTTTTGTGCGTTCTCCGCGTTCTTTTTGACTCTGTGTACTTTGGAGTAGCCTCAGAGCTTCGTATCTTATTGGAATTGGTTTTGTAATTTGGCTTCCTGCCTTGTATGGTAGCGTGAACTGATATGAGACACAATTCACCAAACAAAAGTTAAACGTAGTTCTAATTGGAAGAGCCATTTAGGCCAGGTGCCTAGACAGTAGGCATGTTTTCATATTTGGGTCTGTATGTAAAATTTAGTAAAGCATTTGAATAGGAAAAAAAAAAACAGCCAGGGAGAAAAAGGAGGCGAGTCATGTATCAGCTGGGTTTTAAAATGAGGTAGAGTACCAATTAGACAAAGTGTTGTGCTAGGAAGACTGTCAGATTCAAAAGGAGCAGCAAGGGACGAAGAAGGTTCTTGAACCAACAGTATAAGAGGGCAAAGCAATGGTATAAACGTTGTCCAAAACTGAGTGTGAAGGGTAAAAGGGGCACAGGAGTTCACTGGTTTGGGTACGCTCTCAAGAAACGTACTAAAAACACCAGTGATTTTTAAACTAGGACCTGAAATGAATGGGGAGCCAGAGGGGAAAGTAGAAGTACGGTGTAGTTGTACACAGTCTAGTTTTCCATGCAGTTGCACTGGGGGCTTGCTCGTGATTCAATGTAACTTCAAGTTCACTGCAAACTCTACCTTCAATTTAGTGACTTTTTGGGACCCTCTTCATCTCATCAGTATTTCTGACAGACTCCTGAGTTTGTGATATCTATGGAATTTTGTAAAATCATCCTTGAGGGGGCCAGAGAGTTCCCTTGCAGTGGACAGGAGATGAAGGGTCCGGTGTTTCAGCAGCAGGGAAGAAAACAGCTAAGTTTGCCACCAAGAAGCTTTTGTGCACTGTCATTCACATCTATGGTGTTTTGACTAAATCACTGTGAACCTTTCTGTGGATTCTTTTATTTTGGACTGAGGAAGTTAAGTTTGTAGGGAACAAGGCTGAACTCCACTGAAATAAAAAAAGTTTAAAACTCATACTCTAACCAGTACACATCTCATAAACTGAGAAAGGCCAAATTAGCAGACTGACAGTGGGCTTGCTGGGCAAGTTTGCATTGGCCATATGCCTTAATCAATAACTGTCCGAGGTGCAGGCATTATGATCTGTTCCTCATGCAGTGAGTGAATACTTTCAGAAGGAGGAAATCTGAAACAACCTGAGACTGATCTGTAAGCCAGTTGGGCAGTCTGCAGGGTTATTGACTATAGGTTCCTGAGAAAGAAATCTGGCAAATTGGCAAATGTGATTGCCTAAGAAACATTCAGGATCTCATGAGTTTGGATATACTGTCCTCCCATTTCACTCTTTTTTTTCTTTTTTTTAGTGTTGCTTTACCTCAAAAGAAGGCTTGGCATTTGGAAAAGGAAAAGTCTTAATCTTTAGCAAGCCTCATAAATGTAGCAGGAGAACGCCCTGGGCTTTAAACTTAAGGACTTAAGGAAAATCACTTTGTCACTGTCTCTACAGTAAAAAGCGGGCTTTCTGTGCTTTCCATGTAATTTGAGGAAGACAAGATACCTTACTCTGCATGCAGGCTGCTGGATAGTAATTTTTCACCACAGAGAGACTATTTTGCATGTAGCTGGCTGAGAGGGAGGAAGACAGTCTGAAGCCACTGGAGGTGAACATGGTCAATTAACCCCTCTCTTGCTGGATTCTGTTACATCATATGCAAAAATGCTAGGTTCTCATGCAATCACAAGTTAGTCGAACCTCTTTTGGCTCCTGACCTGTCATGACTTTATTAGTGGCGTAGGCCTTGTTTAAAGGGCACCTCTGGCAATTTGCCTTGCTTCAGGTATGTGAGGCAATGCCAAGTTTGGCCGAAGAATAGCCATACTCATCCTTACCCCACCCACCCACCCACCCACTGAAAGCTGCAGCTCTGCTTCTGTTCTACATTTCCCTTTTTCCCCGCTGTCAGATCAGTGCACTTGGGTGGAGGCAGAAGTTTTGCTCCTGTTCAAGGCAAGGTGTCTGGTGATGGTATCCCCAGCCTTCACCTGTTGAGTACGGCTGCGACGTTAGTTGCATGTTCTCATCCCGACCTTGAGCTGAGAGGTGTTAAATGCTCTCAAATTCTGTTGGCTTGGGTGAGATTTGAGAGGATCTTGCAGGACTGGCCAGAAACAGGAGGTGTGATCTCCAACTGAAGAATGAATGGCACAGTAGATGGATGCTTAAGGGGATAATTCCAGAGTAAAACCAAATAATGAATGTACCTTCACTAGTATAACAAAATGTAAGTGCCAGTCTTCTCGTGCAGCCATTGCAGTTTTGACACTGGTGTCAACGCGAATAAAAAGAAGGTGTGCTCCTTACACACTAAATATTGAGAGAACTTTAAAAAATATTTACTTTCTACAACTGATGATGTGTGTTTATTGTTGTGCATTCAACTTAAGGTTAGGCGTATTACCACTAACTTGCTTCATATGTTTATGTTTGCTGCCTATCATGTTTCCTATTACAAATGTAGTTAGTTTAGCTGTTGAAAACAGACTGTCAGATTCCTTTTGGCTTATTGTCTCTTTTGCTTAGCTTCGTTTTCTCATTCTCATGAATGAATATATTGCTTCAAGCATTACGGAGGGAGGAGGGTGTTGCAGCCCAAATTAAATGATTTACAGAGACAGAATTATAGTAAAGTCCATAAACATTTCTACCAGAGATTTTGAAATATTTCATTCTGTTTACAAATCATATTCTTTGGTCTTTTAGCAATGGCTCTACTAAAAAAATCAACAGAAGAAAAGATCCTGTCTCTCTGTGAAAATTCCTAATAATAAAAGTAAGAGAAGAGCAAGAAGATGATATGGCCTATAAATACAGTAGCTATTTTCTGATTTTTCTTGGCTATCAGTATTTCCTTGATGCTGAATACTTTGGTAGTGTATTTGGTGAATCTTGCTGGCTCAGTAAGCCAGCAACCCTGGCCTCCGATATTCCATTTAACTGTGAAACCCTGCAGTGTTAGAGAAACTGGAACACTTAAAAATACTTGACAGTAATGTTGTTGGTTTAGATAACCGTGTCTAACATTTTACGAGCTATTTGATTTGGGACACAGAATGATACCTAATTGTCTGTATAATTACATGCAGAAGCTGAGACTCCTGTAACCAGGAAGTCAGTATGTGGCTTGTCTGTTTGAGTCATAAAAGGCTTGAAATTGTTAAAGTCAATGGTTGAATTGGGCTTGGCCCCAAGATGGTTAAGTGCAGCCACCAAGGCGAGATAGGCAGAATGATTGCTGTATGCAAGATTCTTTTGTTTGTTACATAATATTGGAAGGCTCACTATGCTAAAGTCAGATCACATTTAATTTTGATGTGGGAGACTGAGAAAGGAGAGGTGGTAATGTGAATGGAATGCTTGGTGTTCTAACACCTTTCATACTTGATGATGGTTTTACATGTGGTTTAATGTGGAAGTAAGAGGCGCACACCGGCCCAGATGTTACTCATTTTATTTCTAAAGCTTCATTATACTCATTTGGGCTACCTTTTTTTTCTTCATTTGAGGAAGAGATTAAAAAAGATTTTAAAGGTATTGAAGTATACCTGATTTGTTCCTCCAGAGACTTAGTTCTCTAGTTGCAGCATTAGCCAATATATGGGTGAATTTTCCCCTCCACCTGCTTGTAGCTCTTGACTGTTTATCCTCTGGATTCTCTGCTGAGTCTGCCTTAAAGGATAGTTTGTGATACCTTTAACCAAATACTTGGTCTCTGTACTGTGGTATCCATGGTTTCCATTACACACAGGTTATTGAGTAGCCATCACGTGGAAAGGATGAATTCTTTACTGACTTGTCTCATAACTACCATGATCTGTAGGGTTATTGTCCCCTGCCTTATAATACTAATTTCTTAGCTGTTGCATGATGTCTTGAACTTGGAAATTTGGCTGAAAGGAAAATA